AGAAAATTTATATTTAAGGTTGGGAAACTTGTGTAGTTATTAATATTTCACTGACAGGGAAAAACAAAAACTTTATCACACAATTTTATCATCAAAGTTTTGACATGTGATATCAACCACTCCACATATACAAAACACTTGTGGTATAAAATGATCAACTTTAAACTTATTTGAAATAATATTTTATTAGTGTTGTGAATGTATGATTATTGGCACTATATGTTATTGTTACTTTTTTGAGTAATAGGAATGTAGGAGGACAATATTCAAGTTGCCATGACAACATAATAAGCAAAACTTTATGCACTAAAGCTAGTGATCACTCGTCTATCACTCACCCTAATCAAGACACAGACAAGTTTATCACTCTCCCAATTCATATCATTTTGAAAAGATTATAGTTAAGGCAGCTACCTCAATCACTGTATTACTGTGTTTAGAAGAGCCATTTCTAGCTCCCAGGCAATTTTCAAAAAGCCTGATTAGAGTTGTTTCCATGACAATTAAGGAAACTATTCATAGTATGTTGTCATGGCAATTCAAATAATGGCATAGATTTTTTTTTAATTATGCAATAAAAAGAAATCCTCTATTATGTAACGAAAATTGCATCTTTCTGAGATTTGTCAGTCTTCTTATCCTCCCTTCTCCATAATTGGTCTTCTACATCTGCTCCACCTCCTACAAATCTACTGCTGAGCTGCATCATCGTATTCTTTATGTATTGTTAAAACCCATGATTTCTTTGCTCATGATTTATCTTTTCTTTCTATATATCTGTTTGATTTTCAGCGAAAGGTAACTAACACTCTGTTTGCTGTTAAATTATCTGCACTGACCTTGTTAATATTACATGCTTGCCAGATAAGTTTACATTGGGAAACTTTTTTTTTTTTTTTCTATTTTTTAAAATGCCCAAATAGAGAGATTCCTGTTACTGATCAATATTTTATTTTTTCGACTTGTGCATGTATATTTTCATTCGATAATACTTGTTAATATCTTTACTTCTCGGTTTAATGTAGCATATGATCTGAACATCAAGTTTTATCAGTATGTACTAAATAGAAAAAAAGTTAGTTGTACGCAGTAGTCTTAGTTGTCGTAGTAGGCACTTGACCAGATGTAGCATTCTCTGCAAGTGACTAGGTTTCACATAGTCTAATTATCTCTCTTTGTAGCATACTCACTTCCCAACACAAGTGAAGGACCTTACTAAAAAGATCAGGACAGTTCTGATGGCGACGGCACAGATGAAAGAACATGAGAATGATCCCGAGATGCTGGTTGATTTACAGTACAGTTTAGCTAAGTCCTATGCAAGTACACCAGAACTTAGAAAAACATGGTTAGAAAGTATGGCCAGGATACATGAAAAGAATAGAGACTTTTCCGAGGTACCCGTAATATCATATATTATTATGCATGTGTCACCGTAACGCCATAAATTACAGCGTGCCGTAATTTGAGGGTATTTTACAGGCTGATAATCTAGCTGTACTGTCTTCGTGCAGACTTTGAGGTGTTCTCGTAATAACCTCATATTATCACTCACTAATGTAAAAACCATTTACCCTGGTATTTTCACTAACATTTAATTCCGTTATTTTGATGTTTTGAGCATATTCACTGTATAAATTTCATAAATTTGTCAAAGAAACAATGAGTTTTATTGTTTTTTTACATGTTCACTAATTTAGCGGATTTTACTTATTATCGAATATAGTGAAATTGCATTTATAGTATAGGCAATGATTGTCACTAAGCTGTGTCAATATTTTTTTTAATGTAACATGACATTTTGTTAGCTCTGCTGTCGACTTTGTTGAGCGGAGCTTATCATATGAGTGATTGCCCGTAGTCGTCTGTGTCAATGTTTTACTTTTTCGACTTCTTCTTGAAAACTACAAGCCTGAATGCTTTGATACTTGGTGTATATGTACCTTGGGTAGACCTCTCTTAGATTTGTTCATTTCATGATGATATCTTCAATTCTCTAATTTTGGTGAATATTTTTGTCATTTTTGGTAAAAAGTGATATTTTCGACTTCTTGTTGAAAACCGCAAGTCCAATTGCTTTGATATTACATATATAGGTACTACATGTGGACCTCTCTCAGATTTGTTCATTTTGTAATGATATCGTCAATTTTCTAATTTTAGTGAATATTTTTTTAAATTTTGGTAAAAAGTGATATTTTTGACTTCTTGTTGAAAACCGCAAGTCTGATTGCTTTTATATTACATATATAGGTACTACATGTGGACCTCTTTCAGATTTCTTAATTTCGTGGTGATATCTTCAATTATCTAATTTTGATGTTTATTTTTGATGAAAAGTGAAAACAGCAAGTCTTGTTGCTTTGATACTATACATATTGTTCATTTTCTAACGATATCTTCTGTTCTTTAAATGCAATGTGCATTGCTAACAGCGGAGCTATCTTAGCCGACAGGCTGCTTGTTGTAATATCTCAACAAATATTTAAGTACATTTACAACATTTGCTATATTATGAGTGCTTCTCCAATAGAAGCATACACATAATTGCTATTATTGAATATCATATTATTAAAATATGACTTATTTTGACCATAGAAATACCTCTGTCATTAATACAGCAAATCTACTCTGTTGTCTTTGATCAAATGCAAAGATTCTCAATCATCTTTTTGATTTTCACTGTATTTTATGAGAGACCCTGGTGAACTCCATTCACTGTTACTGGCTGGTATATAAGGCTTATGATAGTATACTAGTGTATCTTGCACTCTCCTTTCTGATATTATATTATATTACAGGCAGCTTATTGTTACATCCATGTGGCAGCACTGGTTGCAGAATACCTAAAAAGGAAAGATATCTTCAAAAGAGGTTGTACAGCATTTAGGCTGATATCACCTAATGTGGAATCTGAAGAACAGGGGATCAAAGATGACAAAGGAATGCATGATGTCCAGTACACAGAGGTGCGGAGTCAAACAATACAAGGAAGCGTTCGATTATTTGTTTTTTGTCAGACATGCACATGTTGTTTACATCAGTCTGTAGCTTAATAAATCAACATTACGCTTGCTATATGTAGTACATGTACAATCATGCAAACTAAGTTGAAACTTTATCGCTAGAAATTTTGAGGATTTCAAGGATGACATTTCACTACGACTTTTAGCGACTACATTGAAATGTTCACTGCTAAAAAATTTCAGGACTTTTGTATGACTCAAAAGATCCTTGAAAATTGACAAAATAAAAGAAATTATGGTAGTTATGAGTCTCTACTGTCTGTTACGTAGTAGATAATATTGTTATTGTCTCTGCAGGACCATTTGATTGCGTTACTGGAGCAGTGTGCAGAGTATTTGGAGAAATCAGAGCGATATGAAATCATGGGTGAATTGTATCGCCTGATTATACCATTCTATGAGAAGGAAAGAGACTTTCAGGTAAATTAAATCTACAAATGTCTTTGACACGTATTATTCATTAACGACTTTGAACATCAAACTAGATTTTAAAATAAAACTGTTGCCGCATAATTTTTTCCATATTTTTTTGAAAATTGTTATCAATACCTGTAGGCAATGGAAAATAATGTGTATTTGGTTCAAAATTAATAGAGAAATAAATGAAAAACAACTAAAAATGTTCAAAATGTTGAACCAATTTTGGTGAGGAAAATGATAGTGTTCAACTAATTATCTCACTATGTGTACAATGTAGCATAGTAGTTTGTAGAACTAGTGTAACTGTCACATACTACTATGAAGATATGGCCAGCCTCTGATTGGGAGAAGTCATGAAAACATGGATGTCTGTCTGGAGGCCATTTCTTAAACATTTGTCAACCAACCACAGACATATTGAAATTAACCTGTTTAGTTCTGTACATCACTTTATATTTAATGTTTATTTCGTCAGAGGTTAGCTGAAGCCTACTCTACGTTACATCGGGTACATGACAAGGTGGTTGAAGTCATGCAGAGTGGACGACGGTTACTTGGTTCTTATTTTAGAATTGCATTCTTTGGACAGGTAAGTGTGTTGAAAATGTCTCAGCCACAGTCAAACGATATAATTATGGATGGTATTTAAAGAGCTTTTTAGCTTCGCTGTCAACTTATATGATTGTTCGTCGGCATTCGTTGTCCGTGTCAACTTTTTACGTTTACGACTTCATCTTGAAAACTACAATTCTTATTGCTTTGATACTTGGTGTATTTGTACCTTGGGTAGACCTCTCCTAGATTTGTTTATTTCATGATGAGATCTTTTATTCTCCAATTTTGGATAAATATTTTGTCATTTTTGGTAAAAAGTGATATTTTCGACTTCTTGTTAAAAACCACAAGTCTGATTGCTTTGATATAATATATATGGGTACTACATGTGGACCTGTCTCAGATTTGTTCATTTCGTGATATCTTCAATTCACTAATTTTGATGAATATTTTTGGTAAAAAGTGATATTTTCAACTTCTTGTTAAAAATTGCAATAATATACATATAGGTACCTCAGTTAGACATCTCTCAGATTTTTTCATTTTCCAATGACATCTTCAGTTCTTCAATTGAAATATCTCAGCCAAGAGGCTGCTTGTTATGATCCACTATGGGTTGCAGCAATATGGTAGGGTATGGTTTTCTCAAGGATAACACACTCTCATCCACCTGTTGTTTTTGCAGCAATACTTTGAAGAGGAAGATGGCAAGGAATACATTTACAAAGAGCCTAAAGTGACCTCATTAGCTGAAATATCTACAAGATTACAAAAGATGTATGGAGAAAAGTTTGGACCTGAAAATGTAAAATTAATGAAGAGTTCAGATGTTGTAAGTAAACTAAAATATAGATGCAAAAATTCTGTTACCAAGGTGATAAAAATGATTCAGAAATTGTCAAATACTCTTTATGGCCTGATTGATAAACCCTTTGAACACCGAAGTCAGCATTATAATACTGTAAAAGGATTAATTATTCACTGGGTTTTAATTTCGCTCATTTTGCTGACTGGAAAATGCGCTTAATTAAAACCCAGTGAATATGTAAAATTTAGCATAGAACACATTATCTAAATGATAAAACCGTAAATTTTACCCACTGAATATGCCTGAAATGGTAAATCAGTGAAAAATAAATCGGTTATCTTTCACAAAAATAAACTTGTATAAATATTCCCTTATTCTTTCGAAATTTTTGATTAAGACTTGACGAGACATTATTAGTCCCCGTTCGGACGTAGTCCGAAAACGGGGACTTATGTTTTGCCCTGTGTGCGTGCGTGCATGCGTCCGTGATCACCTGTATCTCGAACATGCATGGACCGATTAAGTTCAAACTTCACTCATACATCACACATTATATGGGACATATGCACATGCATTTTTTTCATGATCCGATTAACGATAGCCGAATGGCGGCCATTTTAAGACCGAAAATGCATCAAAATCGCACATTTTCACCATTCCGGACCCGGATCTCAGTTATGCATGGATGGATTTTGTTCAAATTTGGTACATACGTTAAACATAATAGGACCTTGATGCACATCATTTTTTTTTTCGGATCAAGTTCGAAATGGCCGACTGGCGGCCATTTTGTTAAAGAATTCAGTTCTGGATCCGTATCCAAGACATGTCTGGATTGATCAAGTTCAAACTTCACACACACATGGTACATCATGTCACAAATAGATATGTGCATTTGTTTCATGATCCTCTTAACAATACCTGAATGATGGCCATTTTAAGGCCGAAAATGCATCAAAATCACGTATTTTCACAATTCCGAAACCAGATCTCAGTCATACATGGATGGATTTTGTTCAGATTTAGTACAATGTGTTGTACATATGCAGGTGCATTTCGGTCATGATCTGCTTTGAATGTATATGTCACTCAAATATGAACGGAACGGGGACGTGTCATTGACAATGACTTGTGAAAGATAACTTCTCATTATTATGCGAGTATTGTACTAATTAATCTTTCAAACTTAAACTGGTTGCTATGGCAACAACATGGCTACACTCCAAAATTGAAGCTGGCTTGATAAAGAATCTACGTGAGGAACTCAAAGAGACTTTTCGAGCTTAGAATCTGCTCTTCCCAAATGTTGTCTATTATGTCATGCCAACAATGCCTAGGTATGATACTAGTAATATACTATTACGATCAAATATTGGCTGTACATTGGTTTGTGAATCAAAAAAAGTAAAATAGAAAATTCAGTGAGTCAATTTCAGAACCCCTCCAAAGATGCGTATACAGCAACATTACACATTTCGTAGCAACATTCTACATTTGACTTGCCAAGCGTGGCCGGGAGATCCCATTTCATTGGTTAGAAATTTTAAAGGATCAAGGTGGCATCTGGTGACATTTATGTATAATAAAATCAATAAATTTATGCCTTATTTTTTTAATTACGATATGTGTTGATGTTACTAAACCTTTTTTTTATGAATCATGTTTTTTGATTGTATCATTTATGTGTCAAAATTCACTATTCCTGGTTGCAACTTTTGGAAATCTTCTCGCTCGCGTCAATGATACATCAAAATGACATAAAGGGCGCACTTGGAAATGCCCTAAACATAAATGTTAATGTCATAATTTGTACATCATGTGACCTCATTGTGATAAATTTCTCAGTGTTCAGAATTAAAAAAAAGAAGGCATATGAACAATGAGTTCTATTTTCTTTCTTGTGACGTTCATGACATCCAATAATGTCTACATTCGCACAAATCAGAACGAATAATGAGATATTACTAGCATTGTACCTAAGCCATAGTGGTGTATTGTCAATTCGTAGGAATCTGCATAGTTCTACGTTTAATAGCAACCCTCCATTGATTGATGCAAAGTCATGCACTGTAACCTAGCAACAATTGTCATGGGCTAACAGATTGGCAGGTTTTACAGCCATATTTGTAGTACTTCTAATCCAATAAAAACCCAAAGTTACATGTATTGTTACAGTATTAAAATATGATGTATTATAACAATAAAGACACCTCTGTTGTTTACGTTAAAACTCATGCACAACCAGCAGAGGAAATG